ATAAGTACCCCGTTAACCATAATTCCATCTATCGTATCAAGTAGTGCTTCTTTAAAAATAGTCTCCTAGAATATATTGAACAGTAATGGTGACAGAATGCACCCTTGGCGAACTCCGCGCTTTTTTTCTATTTTTTGCGTTTATTCGGATAGTATTATTAGTAAATAATATATTTATTAGTTTTACAATTCCTTTTTAAGTCTGAACATATTCTCCAACCATGATAAAAGCATTTCTTTTAATAAAGGACCATGGATACGTTACGACTTCTTATTAAAACTAACTGTTATAAGGGTATCTGTTTGGAAGATATAAGATGCAATATTTTTTCTTACTGGCTGATTTACTTTTCGATACAGTTTTCAACACTTTTTGTAGCTTTTGGGAAGCAGAATTCTTTAAAGTTATTCTTTAGTTGTAGAGTTGCTATCCGAACACGATATCAATTTTTCCTCACCAATTTGGGGAACTCTCCTCAATTTGGGGAAAAAAAAATTAGATGGAACTAAATTTAATCGTATATGTGGAAGTACCTTATAATTTATAATTTGATTAAATTCTTCATTGGAAATGTTAATGAAAGAGCTGGTGCATTGTTGGGGTCAAACAAACAAATAACAAATAATAATAACAATATCTATTTGCCAATCAATTACTTAAATGATTTCTAAGGTTCGCATAATATTATTTTTCTGTTATTTTATCTATTTTAATGTAACTGATTTAATGTCATGTGTATATCCACAATAAAAGAAACTATAACCTCTTCCGCAGTCACAAATGTTTATATATTCTTGAGTACTTGATCAGACGAAGTTCACTCTTCCGATTGGAGGTTTTTTATCGGAGTATTACGAAATGTCCATCTCCCATATAGGACTATAACTCAATGCATAAACTTTTCAGGAAAATTCTCAAATAATAGATTTTGGGTCAAGGTCTCTGTAGCTATCAGCCGAACTTATCAATTCACTTATGTGTTACCGTCTGTTTCCATAAAGTTTTAATATTTGTAAATACAGTTTAGTAGTGATTACGTAGGTTTACATCCATTTTGCTGAAAACTGTTCCATATGTAATTCGTTTGCTAAATATTATAAATATGATCACATGAGAGTTGTACTTTATCAACAATCTTGCTCACTTCTGTTCAAAGATCTTCAATCATTAGAAAGTGGATTTTGTTCACCATATTTCTTGGTCCTTTGCATCTTTGGGTCTACAGCCATACACCCACAAATTAACTTCGTAAAACTGTTTCAAAATAATTAATATATTGTTGTAGAGTGTAGGCATTGCTGGTCAAAATTTCTTTTAATTTCAGAAATGATTCATTTCTTCAGAAAATTGTGTCGAATCCATATCTGGAATTCATTTTAGTCAATTTTTGCCAATTCACCAACACTTTTGTGTGTTCAGTAATCGTCAAAATAAAAAAAGCTTTCATATCAGAGAAATAATCTGGACTGAAGCTACTAAAAATTGAGAGAATTAGGCAAATAAAATACATTAATAATTATTACCGACTGGTTACACACCCATCGTATATGTACAAGTATTCAAATATTTTTCAGAGAAACTTAGTAACTGAAGTAAATTTTTTTAAATTTCAATTTATATTTCATAAAATATCAAATTTTCAAAAAAAATAATTCATAAATTTCCACAAAACATATTAAAATTTCTGTATTTCAAGATGGACACACCTAAAGTGTAAATTCTTAAAGTTCTCTTAAAAAATACATAAAAACTAAATATAAATTTCAGAAAACTAGGAATTTCAGAAAAATAATAGAAGCCCTAGCCAAGGGAGACATGTCAACTATTCTTGAGTACTCATCACCGGAAATGGATGAAGCCTTGCCTGATACGGCATTCGTTGTGAATTTAAAAGATTATGAATCTGATTTCGTTCTTGATTCAAGGTCATTTTGCTATGGCCCACCTGCCTCAAAGGCGGCAGGTCAGCCCAAACCAGTTACAAGTTCGATACCGGTGGAAGGAACTCAACAGTTTTGTGACGTTTTAGATGATGATTTAAATTTAGATCTTTTGTTTCGTACTGATTCAGAAGTCCAAGCGTTTGCAGGAAAGAACCCAGGAGGAAGTACACAGAAGAGTTCACTAAAAACAAAAGGAAGATCAACCGGTCTATGTTTAAAACGGTCAGTTGCGGAGTGTTACGAGGAGACCACACTTGGCGACATTTTGTGGGAGTAGTTCAACTACGGATATACAGCTGAAATTTGAAAATTTTTATTTTCTTTGAACTTTAAAAAAACTATTAAAAAACGTGTTTTAGTGGGGACATCTTTTCGAAATATGGACACAAAAAATAGAAAAATTTAAAAACAATCACAATGTCTTCGACTATAAGAGTTGGAACATAGAATCGAATGAGTTTTTTTCATAATCTACACTGATACCGCGAAGAAGTGAAGCTGATACCATATATTTCACTATCAGAAACTTCAGAAAACGCGGTTTTTGCACTAAAACTATTATTTCCCTATTAAAACTTAAAAGTTCTTGTTTGAAATTGAAATATATTTTGTATTACATTTTAAAACGGACGTTTTTTAGTAAAATTTGAAAGTGGCTTCGTTTAGTCTTTTAAAAAACGATATATACATAGTTCAAATAGTTCGGAAACATTTGTAGCCGATATTTATTTCAAGAAGTTTTAGTTTCGGTTCGGTTTATAACATGAAGTTGATATTTACATTTTGTTTTTACCGTGAAAACAAATTCTTTTGAATTTCTAATATTCTTAGTGTTGCATGTCACGTTGATATAAAGTAATGTATACCACACGTTTGCCTGAGTTTTCCATACGATCGCGTTTCGGATTGCCAAAATGTATCCTTTTATTGGCTTTTGTTGGCCCTCCTGATTCGAATTTCGAGTTGTTGCCCAGAAGCGTAAAATCGTCTTTTATCATCTACTTCTACTCGTATGATATCCATGATATCCTCGCTTCTAGATCAATTCCAGTAACTTAGACACTTGGAAAACACCTCTAAATCCGCTATCACTAATTGTAAAAGCTCAATACTCAATAACAAGCACACGGATCAGATCAGTCGTTCCATTCTATGGATCAGAATCTTAATGCAAAATTGACATTAGATTAAAGTGAAATATTACAAGTTCTTGTATAATTAATTCGATAAAAATTATATTATAAGGAATAATATCTATAATAAGGAAATAGAAATAAGATTTTCGAAGGAGTTTTCATTTGATTTACGTCAGTTTCTATAAACGTTTTCTATACAGCAAATCTAGACCTATGTGTACCAACTAAGCAACATAGTTAACATATATTACAGCAAACATTAAATATTTTTTGTGTATAGAAGATTATACTTTGAAACCACTTCAAAGTTATAGCACCTATTTTCGTAAACAGTGCCCTAGCTAGTTTCAAAACCCTATTTTTTGATATATATACGAATTAATTTGATATATGACACTATGGCACTGGCAGTTTTTAATTTGTCAGAGTTTTAGCAATAATTTAGAGAGAGAAATAATATTAGTCCTAGTTAGAACGTAACGTAACGATACTGTTTAAGAACTAATATAAGATATTCGCTGATGCAGACAATTTTTATTAGTACTTAAAGAATCAATATTATTATTATTATTTGATTCGTGTATTTACAATGTATTTATTTACAATACATTGGGTAAAGACATCGCTCTTAGTAAAATCATAGGGTGGAGACGCAGTTTTTCCATACTTATCTGTCAAGAGCCTTCTGCCGAATTTCGTTTTGTAAACCAGACTGCCGATGTTCAGCGTTGATAGAGCGCATCTAGGTGACTCGTGGGCGGCCAGGCCTACGTGAACCTTGTGGGATCCACTCAAAGGCTATTTTCACAATGACGGTGTCTTTCCAGATTGCGTGTCCAATCCAACGCCACTTCTGGCTTTTAACCTCGAATTCTATTGGTACATTTTTGGATATGGTAAGAAGTTCAGTGTTTGAAATTAACCGTGACTAGGAAATTTTAATTATAATTATATAATTTGTCGGATGCGTTCTGTGACTTTCCAAAGAGAACTGTTGATTTGGTACTAGTGTTAAAGATTTTAATCGTAGTGCGTCGCGAGATAAAGTTCGAGGACTAGATTTTCTTCGTTTTGAAAAATGTATGACTGGCTTTACTAATGCGAGTTAAAATATCCTCGTCGGTCCCTTCTTCCTTTGTATTAATACTGCCAAGGTAGTAGAAACTATCAACCTCGGCGATTACTCTTGAGCTGTTGTGTACTTCTACATCGAGCGGTGGGATGTAGGTAGTTTCAAGACGCATTAACTTGATTTTGTTGTAGATTATTTTAAACTTATTTTATTTGTGTTTACTTTTGATATCTTGTACGGAGTGAGACAAGAAGCAGATCTCTTCGGCATAATCCAAATCATAAAGTTTTAGAATTGGACGCCAAGTAATACCGGCAGAGAGAAGAGCAGCGAAATCACAAAAAGCAAATATAGTGGGGATCGTCTCTCCGTGGATTATTCTGTGATAACGCGAAGTGAGTTGATGTGATCTACGCATGATAGATTTGGGCGAAAACCATTCTGTTCACGTTGTAGGACCGAGTTAAGGAAAGGGTCTTCGCGGCTAAGAATGATGGCTGTTATAACTTTCACGATAGTATTTCACAGTGTTCTGCCCCTCGAAGAACTATGTTACATAGTTATAGGTCGCTTTTGTTCGGGTGCTTGATAATGCTTGATTAATTTTTCCAATAAATGCTTGTAGTACGAGTAATCTAATAACGTCCAGAAATACTTAAAATGTTCATTATTTCTGAAATCTTATGGTAACATATTGACTATTCAACTACCCCAATTTTCGTTTGTGATTGCAAAGACCTATTTAACACTTCTGGATTCAACCAAATAAAATTTATGTTTTTGTATCCACACAATGAAAAATGAACTAAGCTTAATAATAATTACAGTACCAAATATTTTTATTTACAAAACATATTTTTTTGTTGCTTAAGACTAATTTAATTATAATATAAAATTGATTATAAAATTCAATAAAGTTGAGTGTTAAGGTCCTTTCCAAATTAAAATACTTGCAAGATTTTAAAGAAATTTAAAAGCCAGTAACTCATTTTTAAATATTTGAAGAACGTTGACGATACTGGGCTTACCACTTTCGTCACTTTTCCGGTTTTCATACATTTTGTAAGTTTCTCTTTAATGGCTTTTGTTGGACTATGGCGCCAGTGCCATATAGCAAATATCAAGCCAAACAAAGATAGTGTAATATTCAGTTCCATATTACATTTGTGTGACGAAAAATTCATCTTGTAAATACTAAGACGTTGAATTTTTTACTGGCACCGTCGAATTTTACAAACTTTTAAAAGAAAAGTTCTTTGTAATAAATTTCTGGACTTCTGCCTAACAACTTTGTCTTACCATTATACGCAAGTCAAACATTTCTAGTAGATTTCTAAGAACAGCAGCATTCCCAACTTTAACCTTAAAGTAGAAGTAAATGTTCTGACATTACAGATCCCCAAATATATTTGAATATATTATATGGTCTTTAAAATAGACATGATGACCTGATAATCTCCAGAACTATCTATCTTACAGATTAGGTTGTTTAAATATACCTTATTTCTTCTTTAACTTCACAAATTTGTTGCATTTTACGTTGGAAAAAGAGGATTGTTTTGATTTCAATCTTTTGAAGTCTGCAACAGTTTACACTCCACTAAAGGATTGGAAGAAATACATTAAACCTGTTGAAGACATCTTTTGTCTACATTTCTTCATTTAATTTTCTGAAGTATCTTCCACTTACCTGTCTTCATGTTCTACTACCAGTTCTCGAGCAGTCAGTAATATTGTAGTCATTAATACTCTGCGAACCTCATCGAAAAATATTTTGTGGAGATATCGCCATTTATAATTCCGATGTTTTGCTTTTTCTCACTTGTACTTGATTATTTTCACGATGACATCCATTAAACTGAAGTTTAATATGTTAATTTTTAGAAGTCCAAAGGTTATGAAACTTTTACTCATCAATTAGAATTGAACCTAAGTCAAAGTAGATATTCCATCAATTCATCAGTTCTTAGTGTTTCTGCATTCGATGGTGTCGAAATTTTGCGATAAAGCTACATTTAAGTTTTAATTAAAACTTAATTAATTTTTATAGCTCATATAATTAGTTTTTAGATTGCTTCAGGACTACACATAATTCGGAGAGTGTGTGGAAAAGTAAGTGAATATTCTCCGAAATAATTTTATTATAAATCCTTTTAGTCCATATCTATATATATCAATTAGATCTATGGCTTATTTACTTGAGTCAGTTGTTTACAGTTGTGTTAAGTATTATTAAAGTCTTGACTAATATATAATATCTGTGATAATTTTTGTGTAACTTACCAGTATCAGAATCATTTTATGGATAAACTTTTGTAAGTCTTACAA